GAGGGGGGGGGGGGGGGGGACTTCAAATTGGAGCTGTACTTGAATAATAAACCGAATTCTTCAAGGAGAAGAAAAGACTTTATTCGCAATTTTGTTTTGTGTTAACCCGGAGGAGATCCCTCACTAAACTTTTCAATCCGCGATTTTTTTTTGTGTGTGTTTTTCGTTGTTGTTGTTGTTGTTGTTGTTTTTGTTTTTTTTTTTGGGGGGGGGACCACATTTTATATTTTATTGTATTCTCTTATCAGTATTTGTCTTCCATGAAGATTCAGGATTCTCATTCCCGTATCCAATTTTATTCAACATGAGCCCAGGTATACACCGATTTTCTTTTGCCCGACAGTTAAAATGACACAAAAAAAAACACACAAAATCTCTAAAAAAATTGAACCCCGGGAGAAAAAAAAAATCCGAATTTCTATAGAAATAAACACCGAAAACATAGAACTCTACAGGTATAACTAGTCATTCGCGCTTGATAAAAAAGCCTCACCAGTGTAGAGAAAGAGAGAGAAACATTGAAATTTCTTTGTAACATTTTGAACTCAACACAGGGAAGATAACCGGTGACAAACGCGGAAGAAGCGTCTTAAACACAGCTAAATTGTCCATTTTGGATCAGATCTTTCCGTCATAGTAAACTCACAAGAATCATAACAAACAGCAGGAGAGGAAGGGAAAAAAAACTAGCTTCAAAAATAACGAGTAAACAACTAAAGTCCGGCCCATGAAGTACACAGCAAGGGGTCAGCACTTGGAACAATGCCCAGCTTTAACAAACAAACGAGCGAAAGGATCCATTTGAGAACTCAGACAGGCATTGGCGCAGCACGACGCATATACTAAAATATACTAAAAAGAAAGAAGCAAATGCCAAGAAAACATGACTAAGCGAAAACCGCGAGCTTTGTAATGTATTACTTACCTAACCCCCCAGTATTCTGGCTATTAACCACGGACTTGGAATTTAAGAATAGTAGGATTCTGAAAATCGGGGGAGTCAGATTTTTCTGTCTCGATCACCGTGTTTAACCTAACATTTTATGAAGATGTAGGTGGGGTTGATTTAAGATGAAATTATGCAGAGGGTAGCCCGCGTACATTGTTATTTTGACTTCAAAGTCTATATGAAAGCTTATGTCTGAATTCCAAAAGTGCCCGATTATTTCTGCGCTGAAAAAAAAAAAAATAATTGTGAAATTGGGCATCCTGAAGTGCTGGACTGCATTCATCGCGCCCAGTGCCATTGTAGTCACTTCTGACAAAGAATAACTAGGATACCAGTATGGCGAGTTGTTACAAATTTTAAATAACAAACTACTGGTCGGGTGCATAATGCAAGACATGCTTTTATAGTTTACTAAATTTTATATTCCGAAATAAAAATAGCATACGACAAATCGTATTTTCCTCGAAATTCGCAAAATACCAATTATTTTATTCATAATAATAGATATTTATGCAATGTTGTAAACAGAACTCGGAATGTACTGACTTATAGAAAATATATTCGTATAATGTTGCCTTAATATTTACACTCGGAGACAATTAAAAGGGCGAATACCAAAACAATGTGGAGGGCGATTAAGAAACAAATAATCGACACTTTTTGAAAAGTATTAAGTTAGATTACTATATCGGAAGTGTTCCGATGAGTGTGTGGGAGTGTGTGCATAGGCGTAAACTACTGGGGGCATCGGGGCTCGTGCTCCCCCTGGTGAGATCAAGGGAAAACAGGGCCAGAAACCCAAGGAACAGAAACTAGTTACATGGCACTTAAACAAGGAACAGAAACTCGTGATCGTTACATGGCACTTAAACTCGTTACATGGCACTTAAAGAAACTCGTTATGGTTACATGGCACTTAAACTCGTAACATGGCACTTAAAGGAACAGATCAAGGAACAGAAACTCGTTACATGGCACTTAAACAACGTCTCAGTAAGGATCATGGCCCAGACGCTGTTTAAGTGCCATGTAACGAGTTTCTAGTAGTGGCATGTAAACAAAATAATATACACAGCGAGGGACACATGGGAATACAGATACGCTGTAAAATGTATCCCCTAAAATAAAATACTGATAATTGCCTGTGTAAAAAGAATTGCGCGGAAAAGCATCCCCCCCCCCCCTCCCGGAGAACATCTCAGCCTCCCCCCCCCCCCCCCCCCCCGGTAAAATGGAAGGTCTACGCCGCTGCGTGTGTGTGTTTGTGGGGGGTGGGAGGAGGGTCTTTATAGGGCATTGCTTGGGGCACGAAGCAGGATTATGACTTCCTCATTGATAAACTTACCATAATTTATCTGTAGGTTTCTCACGTACGCTCGTGAATTCTGAACCGCCTTAATTAATTTGGTTGTAACGTCTTATCGCGAAGATCCGCCCCCACATTTGCATGCCGTAGTAAAATTCGCATACCCAAGACCTCCGCATCGGCACGCCCGACACCCTAACCTCAAAACGACGTACATAAAAGTAGAGTATGATGACCTCACCACGCCCCCATTTTGTTCCCGAACCACTCCAAAAAAATTCTCCCAAAAGAAATTCAAGCTCGAGACATCTAGGGCCATCCTCACGCGGCCCTTCTAAGAGTCATTCAGTGTCCCATTCGCAACAAAACCCTAAAAGCGGTTGAGCTGCGGGGGCGAACCACAACTGTAGATGCGTCAGCGCCCACATCGTCCGCGCTGTCCTCGACCGCATCTGCGGGTTTCGGTGGGCCACTCTTGCTCTCGGCGGCACGCATCGGCAGCATTGTATGCGGGACCAGCGCTCTTTATCGCGCTCTCCACTGGGGCCTTTCTTCGGCCGGGCTCTGAAGAGAAAACGAGTTTGCCTTCTCAATGGGATCCGGTCGGGCACACATTTCCAGCGAATTCCGAAAGGGGAGCTTCTCACAAATGGCCAACATCGGGCCTACTTAACTTCATGCTTTAATTTTTTTTTTCTTTTCTTTTCTTTTCTTGTTGTTGTTTTATTCTTCCATGGACACAAGCGGTGGAGAGAATCGTCTCACGCACACTCTGCTCAGATGACATGTCTTCGTTAGCGTATTATATTGTTCGCGTGTGGAGTGCATTGTCTTAGGGATAGGAGGACTTCGTTGAAAGCAATTTATCCGCATATTACTTATCTTACGAAAGCTACACACCGCTTCTACCACTTCTTAAACCTCCGTTAAGCAAGCAAAAGAAAGTTTATACTAAGTTCTACGCTTTTCTAGCTAGGTTATACGGCTTTGTTTTCGTTACATTTTGAGCAAAAACGATAATAATTTCACCTCAGTCTTTGTTCGACAGTGCTTGGGCCCATGCTTCGAAGCCAATCGAATAAAGGAGTTAATTTAAAGATACTTCCTGCGAGATATTACGCGCTTTTTGGCCAGTGAATGCGCTTACCTCGGCAAAGTGCGCTGGATTTTCTTATCGAAAATAAGTCATCATAAGCATGGGCACGTAGTATTCTGCCCTTATTTTAGAGTCAGAAATATCTATTATTAATTAAATTCGAAGAGCGATGCGTGTTTTGCTTGGTTTTCCAACCTCCAGGAATTCTGCACGGCACACTCTTCGTTCTTAATTAACTCTAATGGTCCCACCGGAATCTGCGGTTTCACGGTGGCGAGCAACTTAACTGGATTTGTTGTTTCTGAAATATGGTCATCCGAAGTTTCTCGCTGGTATCGGCAAGGCATCCTGGAAGTCGGGGTCGCCACACACAGTCTCTGCTTGCGGTGAAGCCAAAGGACGTAGCGTTTTTGATAATGGTTTGATTTTGTATTATGCTTCGTTTCGGCTTAAATCCAGACGTAGCCGACGCTACGAGCCAAGGGGACCCATCAAGCAGTGTCAAAAACGCAAATCGCTTGCCTTTTTTTATAATTAGTTCAACGATTAACTTTTGACACTGTCTGACTGGCGTATCTCTTGATACAGTATATCGCCGCGTAAACCTTTTTTGTCGGCAAGCTGTCGCGTACGAACATACTCCCGTACCTATGAATGCGAGCGTGCGTTATAAACAAATGAGGTACTAGAGGTGATTCTCCTGGACGAGTCAATAGTATTTAATTTGGGCCTAATTTAGTACTGCCTAATAACTTATTTTAGGTAAGCTGATAACGAAAGTAATAGAAACGGAGTTCTCGCTAAAGGCTACGAACTAGTAACGTAAAGGCTTGTGACTGTTGTTAATTCCACGAGGCTCTATCTAAAGGTCAAACAATGAAGGCGGAAACAGAGTACGGGCCGGTCAGAATGTTTATAAGGATTACCAAACTGCCACACGCTACTATATTTTTTTCTAGATTCGATTCAAGCGTTCATAAACTTTATTTAGTTGGCGTGCATTTAGCAACGCCTTAAAATAGTTAAAAAAATTAGGTATTGATTTAATTCCTAAAGTTTCGTTTACAATCTTGTATATGTTGTAACAAGCGTTACTACTTGGGCCGGATTTCAAATATCCCAATTCAAAGACGAGACGGCTTGCGCGAAAAACACGTGCGACCAGGTTCCCCGGCGTTCCGAGATCCCTAACCGCCCCCAGGTGTGACCGACTTTCCGCCTCGTACCCTTCCCCTCCGCAAGAGCGGCGCCAGCGGCGAGGCGACGCTCACGTGACCGTGACGTCACGGACCACTCCTCCCTCCCCCCGCAACTCGGAAGAGCGAAGTGGCCGTTGCCGCGGGGCCCGAAGAAAAGTGGCCGCACTTGATTGACACGCGCGGCGGAGACCGCACAACAGCGCCGCTGGTGCGCTCGCTCGTTGTGGGCACGCGCCACACCGGAGACTCAGTGCGCGGCGTGGCGGCGAGGAGTCCCGCAGCCACGAGGGGGAGCCCACGAGGCCTATATTTAGGCCGGCCGGCACGGACTCATGCGGCCCATGCGAGCGCCGCCAAGAACAGTCGTCGACGAGACGGCCCGAGGGCCGGCCGTCCTGGCGGCGGCGTCGAGCTAGAAGACGTTCCCGGTGCTAGAAGGCCGAAGACGCCATGCTAGACATTATCCGGAGCCTCAAGTCGCTGCTCAAGACCAGTCGAGTCCACATCGACAACGAGGTTTTCCGTCTGCACTACACGGCGACCGTCATCATCCTGCTGGCCTTCTGCATCGTGGTGTCTACAAAGCAGTTCGTGGGCGACCCCATCGACTGCTCTAAATCGGCAGACATGCCGCAGACTGTCATCAACACCTACTGTTGGATTCACGCGACGTACAGCGTGACGAGTCTTATGCGCAAAGACGCCGAATCCGTCGTTTATCCGGGCGTCGGGCCCGCGAGGGCCAGCAGCGTCCACAATCCTGGGGACCACAAGTACCACAGGTACTACCAGTGGGTGTGTTTCATGCTGTTCTTCCAGGCGACGCTGTTCTACATGCCGCGCTGGTTGTGGAAGTTCTGGGAAGGCGGGAAGATACAGGCGCTCATGATGGACCTGGATGTGGGCATGTGTGGCGATGCCGAGAAAAAACAAAAGAAGAAGCTTCTGGTCGACTACCTGGTCTCCAGCCTGAAGCAGCACGACTGGTACGCGGCGCGGTACTTCTTCTGCGAGCTGCTCGCCTTCGTCAATGTCGTCGGACAGATGTTCCTTATGGACCGCTTCTTCGACGGCGAGTTCCTCACCTACGGCCTGGACGTGATCCGCTTCCTGGACCAGGATGATGAGGAGCGCATCGACCCCATGATCCGCGTCTTCCCCAGAGTAGCCAAGTGCCAGTTCTACAAGTTCGGCCCGTCGGGAAATAGGGAGACGCACGACGCAATCTGCATCCTGCCACTCAACATAGTTAACGAAAAGATCTACATATTTCTCTGGTTCTGGTTCATCCTGCTGGGTGCCGTCTCCGGCATGGTCCTGCTGTTCCGAGTCATCGTCACCGCGTGCCCGCCCGTCCGCGTGTACCTCCTCAACCTCCGCTTCAGGATTGTACACCTGGACCACCTGCATACCGTCGTGCGCCGGGGCTCCCTGGGTGACTGGTTCCTCATCTACATGCTGGGCCAGAATGTGGATTCTGTCATCTTCAAGGAGGTCATCGCGGAGATGGCCAAGCGGATGACCACCGAGCCCAAGGAGTCGTCTGCATGACGACGCGCGTGCCGGCCTACCGCGCTGGGCCGACCAAACTCTCACCCAGTGCCTGCGCACCAGGACGTCTGACAGAGCCTGGTGCCTACCCCTAGGATTAAACGGCCGCCACTTTAGGCTGCAGCGGAGAAGGGGATCACGAGCTCCGTGTTTCGCTTCACTGGCTTCTGCGTGCATCGGACGTGCCGGACATGTTGTGTCGTCGTGGCCCATACTGGATGCACACGTTCCTTGCATGGTGCCGGGAAAGTTCCTCTGGAAAGGTGCCCCTTCCGCGCGACATTTTTTTGCTTGTGGCTCCTATGTGCCTGGTTTTTTCTCTAGGTACTTCAGATTAGACTGGTTTCATGGTTCAAACATTCTTTCATGGGGCATTGTCTACCTTTGCTTCGTTCGCCTTATCATCAACTTCATGTACCATTAGTGAGTTTCCATTCCGAAAAGTTGAGAGAATGAGCTCGTAACGACAAGACAACCAGTTTTGTTATTTGTGTCTTCTGTGTAACACTTCAATTACAACAGTAGCTCAAGTCAGGCACTGCCTTAGATACCGCGGTTACTAAATCTACAATACATATCCGATTTTCTTTTTGCCATGCCTTTACAAGGATTGCTTGATAACATCACGTTGCAGAAAGTTCATAAAAACACGCATCCCAGTATGACGGACTTCGAAAAGGTAGCCAGAACAGTTCACATCTTCTAGGAAGTAAAGTGCTACAATCTATCGCTAGTCGTCTTCCTAGTCGAACAAATATCACACGTTAGTACCCTATTCTTCCCTCTATACTTCAAATACAAAAAGACTACAGCTGTTGTTTTTTTGTTGTTGTTTTTTATTATACGGAACCCACACGTTTTGGGTTAAAAGGATAACTAGCATCATAATCAATCTTCCACCTTGGTGGTTACAACAATTTCGTCTTTCTTGCGGACAGAATAATGGAGATAGAACCCAGTCATGCCTGGGGATGTCCAAATTCAGTTCCTTCAGGCTCGTGACCTGCTCCCATTAGAGAGAAAGCCAACGAGTTTCTATTTCAGACGAAAAAGTATTTGTCGTTGAGGACACGAGCGTTTGTGGAGCTAGGGCCACCATTAAGATGTACGAGGGCGTCATCAGCAAAGTGTCTTCGTTCTGTCCCAAGGCAGCCTTGGCTGAACGTTGTCCTGGTCTGGACCCTGCAAGTGTGCATGGTTGTCGAAAACTTGACGAAATAAATAGTTTTAAGTAAAAAAAAAAAAAACATCACAATGCTCACAGTTAACGGGCAGCTATAAAAAGAAACCAAAGGGTGAATGTTTATTTGTCTTTGGCAATCATAAAACCGGAACGCGCAAGGACTAACTCGGGGGCGTAGGTGTGAGGGAGTGACCGGAAATCGCCGTTAAATAGACTTCTCATAGCTGGTCTCTATTTAGTGCCCTGAAGGAAAACCGAAGAGCCATCCTTAAGAAGGTTGAAACGCTCGTTAAAGGAGCTCTCGCCCAAAATCGAAATGACTGATCCGCGTGCGGCCGTGCAAGTTATTTTTGTAACGGTTCACTTCAGCCCAAACATATCCCGACCCAGAAACATTGCGCAGTGAAACATGGCGACGGCGGATCGACAAGACACAGTACAAACTTCCTTCCCTCTAGTCTCCCGTTTTTTTTCACTGGTTTGCTATCCTTTTCTCTTTGTTTTTGTGCGGTCTATCATGCTAGAAGCTTTCAATGTTCTTGTTGGCACGTAGGAGTTTCAGTTCTTTTTGAGCCAGAATACCAGAAGAAACGAAACGACTAGTTGCAACAGTCTCGTAGATTTCCCAACATTTTCCCCGAAATCTTGGCTTTTCTCCGCAGTTCATCGAATTTGATGGTACAGATTATTTATTTGCTCCATCGGGGAAACCAATTTTAACCGCGCTGTGCCGTAACATCAATCACTGTAACCACTACCCGGAGCGACCATTGGTACCTCTAGAAAATATCCCAATTCCACGAACTAAATCTAAGTTGCGCTATTTTAGTGCCAGTTTGGTCATTAGCCCGGAATTTCAAAAAGAAATCGCATGAGTATGTTGACGTTGAGTCATTATACAGCAGCTCGGAACACAAGTTTCTAAGACACGCTAGGAAGGGCGAGTTTCTGCCGAACACTTACGACTTATGCAAAGCACGTACGTATGGGCTAGTAGGCCGCTGATCCTTTTTACGTCCACAAATAAAGGTTCACTTTAGGCGGGGGGTGGGGGGGGGGGGGGGGGAGTTTCTGACCCGAGTTCTTGTTTGTTTTTAAGAAGGCAGGAAGTCGAGTAGAGAGAGTCGTCGGACAAGCTGGGACCGGAAGAGCGAGGAAGGGGTATGAGGGGATAGTTTCTGACTTCCGGTGCAAGTATTTTGGTGACGCGCAGAATAACGAGCCATGGAGGGATAAAAAAAAAAAGTTATTTCGTATTATATGTTGTTGTTTTTTTTTTTTATGGCCTAAGAGTTTCTTCTTTTTTTTTCGCATCTTGAATGTCGACCCGGTTGCGAAAATTTCGAGGTTTATTATTTTTTTTTTTTAAGCAACAGTTCAAGAAAAAAAAAGAGCTTACGCAACGAAGCTTTTTAATCCAAAAAACAGCAATACAAAATATCTCTAAAAAATTCCGAGGTTTTTTTGTTTTTTATGCTAAGTCAGTGAAAAAGAATGTTTTCTTCTAATCGCCTTATTTTCTTATTATTTTATATTTACATACATGCACAATGCACAGACCAGCAACTATTCTAGCACATTTACCATTTCAGCTTGATCTAAGTTTAATCATTACAGAGCTTTAGTAGATCGTACGCTTCGGAAAGCGAGCCCACGGGCCCGTGCTCCACGCATGCTTCGAGAGTGACGGCACGACCTGCCGCTAGCAAATCGAAGCTCTTGATTACGGTCTGCGAAAGGTCCCCCTTGTTTTTCTTCAACTCAAATCCTCGCTCCGTTTTAAAATTTGAAAGAGACGATTTGACCAGCCTGGAAAGCAGAACTTTACGGAGGGCCGAAATCGAATTTTTGAACGAAAGTATGCGCGCCTGTGCTTGACAAAAAATAACATTCACGTTAGCAGTACTATCGGACATTTGACAAAATATGTGCTCTAGCAACGACGGAGGTCTTGAGAACGTGATTTCAGTGCTGTGGCACACAACGGCTCGTCGACACGGTGGGCTGAAGTTCGATTGCACTCACTAAAGTGGACCAATTCATTTGAACTTGTTTTGTGTGGCCCTACATCGTATACCGCAAGGTTTTAGTCGCTGTACATTAAGGAAGAAAGGGAAAAAAAAGTGAATTAGCTCTGAAATCCTTAAATATAATTCCCGTGTCGCAGGATTATACTAAAAAAGAAGCTATTTTACTCATGGTTCCTCCCAAAATAATCCAGATTTTGATGACACTGCCATTGTAGCTTCACTCAGAAAGAGAGAGAGAGAAAAAGAGAGCTTTAACCTACAAATAACATACATAAAATTTCTAACCGACGCACCGCTCCGATTCCGAACAAATTTTGATCGAGTGGGGCTCGAGATTTCAAGTTGGGCCTCCACTGCGTGCGCTCTAAACCTTCTCTCCTATATGTGACGTGTCACTGTCGGAGCGAACGCGACATTGGCACGTTTTTCCTCTTTACTTCGAAAGAATATTAAAAAGAATCAGATTCTACCGCTTATATTAGTGCCCCCAAATGACTACTTTCCACCACACTAGCCGTTTTGATAACAGCTTTTCAATTTTGAGAGAAAAAAGAAACGGAAACTGCCTTTGCGCTTCAACAGTGCATGTCTCGCAGTGTATCACAATGCGGTACGCGAAACATCCAATCGCATTCCAACCAGGGAAAATTAAAAATACTTAGTGTCACAAAAAATTAAAAAAAGAAATATATTATGAGATATAAATAAGCACTCTTTATTCTAAATCAAAAAGGTGCGGCCATTGCAAAGTATGAAGTATATACTAATTTGTTAAGTCAGTAGCAAACGAACTAGAAATTGGTACTTTCCGTGCGCAGAAGATGAAGATCTGCAGGCTCTGGGGATACGTTTTCTTTAGTATATTGTACAAAATATGAAGTATGTACTAATTTGTTAAATCAATAGCAAAAGAACTAGAAATGGGTACTTTCCGTGCACAGAAGATGAAGACACGCAGGCTCTCTTGATACGTTTTTTTTTAGTATATTGTATAGTCAATGCGATTCACGCCACAAGGTCACTCAAAATTAATATAACGCTACTCCGGCACAAAAGCCTGTATACGGACATAGAACGGAAACGTCCTAAAGTCCCCCTTCTTTTCAGCCATGCGTCCAGTTGGAGAAACTGGGACAAAGCGGCAACGTGCGACAGCGCGGTATGTCGCGAGAATGTCTAATATCATCGACCTCGTTCACAAACGTCTCCTCTGCCTCTCTTGTTTCTTGATGTTCTTCCATACTTTTTTTCATTCACCACTGCCATATCTTAGAAGGTCTCCCTTTTGTACGCGCACACATGTGCGCAAAAAGGTGGCAGATAGCCCCCCTCCTTGAAAACGCAGTCGCGGGCTGCCTGGGTTTTCTTTTGTACAAGAATTTTCATTTTGTTATTAAAAAGAAACTGGTTCTACACTTTATGGGTCGTTCGCTGCTTTCATTCGCGATTTTATTCCTTTTCAGCGCACGGGATGGGACCTGCCTCTTCTAGTGTCCCCTCTTGTCTCGTGTTTTTCTGTTGTTCCTTTTCTTCCCTGTGATGAAAGTTGGTTATTAACTGTTCCCCATCACCATAAAGTCATCGACGGTTTAAGAAAGACACGCGAGGCGTGGTTGCTCATCTCTAGGCATTTTCATTTTGCGATTTGTTCTTCGGCATTCATATCGGCTAAGGCTGAGCAGCGATGATAAGTCACTCGAGTCTCTGCACGCCCTGTATTTCTTAAACTGTCAGTGACCCGAACTACTGCTGAGTCGGGCTGTTCCTTAAATTAGGGCGGACGACTCCTCGAGTGGCGCAGCGCCCTTTCTCTGTCAAACGAGACGGGAGG